TAGAGCCAAACTAGTAAGTCGACCAATTTATTGCCTAGCACCAAAAGAACTTGAAGAGCTGTAGAAGATATTAGACAAACTCTTAGAGAAAGGCCTCATTCGAGAAAGCACATCACCATAGGGAGCACATGTACTCTTTGTACATAAGAAAGATGGTAGACTTTGCCTTTGCATCGACTATCAAGATCTCAATAAGTAGAATATTAAAAATACATATCCACTTTCACGTAAGGATGATCTTCTTGACCAACTTCAAGGTGTGACTATCTTTAGTAAATTGAATCTTTGGAGTAGTTATTGGCAAATACCTATTACAAGAGAGGATATAAAAAAGACGGTATTTTGTACTCGCTATGGATATTTTGAATGGCTAGTTTTACCTTTTGGCCTCACCAATGCTATAGCTTCTTTCATGGATCATATGAATAGATTATTTTGAGACCTTTTAGACAAGTATGTAGTTGTCTTCATTGATAATATCCTCGTATATAGTAAAATCCTTGAAGAGCATGAACAACACCTACGAGAGGTGCTACATCAATTGCAAGATAGTGACTTTTATTATAAGCAATCAAAATATGAACTTTGAAAGTCAAAAGTCACCTTTTTGGGGCATGTGGTGTCCTCTGAAGGTATGCGTATGGAGTAAGATAAGGTAAAAGCAATAGAGGATTGGCCAATCGCTAAGGATGCTTCTGAAGTTTGCTCATTTTTAGACCTTGCTAGATACTATCGCCATTTTGTTTAGTAATTTTCTTACATTGCTGCCAAATTGACAAATCTATTAGAGAAGGGTGCTCTATTTGAATAGAAACTGGAGTAGCAAAATCCCTTTATTAAGTTGAAGGAGGCATTCATTACTACTCCAATATTGCAACCATATATTTTTAATTTTCATTGTATGCTTAACATTGATGCTTCCAACTTTGCTATTGGAGCGGTCTTTCAATAAGACTTTAGTAGGGGCCTTCAACTTGTGACGTATGAATCATGCAAGCTAAGAAGGGTAGAGTCCAATTACTTTGTACGTGATCGGGAACAATTAGCAATTATATATGCCACAAAGGTGTATCGATACTATCTATTTGAGAAGCCAGTGGTTATTAAGACTGACCATCGATCCTTGCTTCATGATTTGCATCTAAAAAATATAAAATTTGCGACATCATCATTGAGAAGAATAATTGTAGCTTTTTGATATTCAGCTTGAGTACAAACAAAGGCAACAACATACTGGGCTAGATAGTTTATTACAAAGACCAAACTTGAAGGACAAATTGGAAGACAATAAAGAAGGTGCTACCATTAGTAGTATCATTTCAGATCTAATCAAAGAAGGAAAATGGAAAGAAGCTATCCAACATGATGCTTATTTCAAGATGGTTAGTAATCGATTGAAGGTGGGTGATATACAATATCAAGATTATACTCCTAGTGAAGGCTTACTCTGTTTCAAGAAGCAAATTTATGTACGTGACAATGCTAAACTCTGAACGCGCATACTTCAAGTGGGACATGATATTCCAATATCTAGACATCTAGTACAAGAGAAGTTCCTAAAACACATCTCAAGGATATGATTTTGGACAAGTTTCGATCCTGATATTTAAGCCTTTGTATGTTTCTATGAGTTATGTCAACATAACAAAGTGCACAGTGTAACATCTTCTAGACTATTGCAGTCAATTCCACTATCCATGGCACATTGGAAGCAGGTGAATATGGATCTCATTACATGTTTGCCGTAGATGCATCATAATCATGCCACAATTGTCATCTTTGTGGATCAACTCTCAAAGCAACTTCACTTGTAGTGGTACGCTCGAATATTCATGATCCAACACTTGCATGAATCTTCTATGATATTGTCTTTCATCACCAAAGATTACTTTGTATTATCATTTCAAATCGAGATCTATGCTTTATGGGAAGTTTTTGGTAAGGCTTGTTCAAGCTATTAGGTACATGACTTGTCATATCTATAGCCTTCTATCTTCAAACAGATGGACAAACACAGCGTGCAAATCAGACCTTGGAGAATATGCTGCAAGCATTTGTGGCAATTCATCATAATGATTGGGATGAATACTTGACATCTTTGGAGTTTGCTTATAATGATAGTATTCAAGTGAGTATCGATCATTTACCATTTTTTTTTAATACTAATCAATATCCAATTACGCCAACAATTCTCTATTGTCCCATCGATACCAACAACCCAATAATAAAAGAATTTATACAACAGCTTACAATGGCCTTACAAGAGGTATGACACCACCTCCTTACTGCATAGAATCGATAGAAGCAGTATATGGATAATCATTGGCAACACAAGACCTTCTAGGAGGGTGATTAGGTATTACTTTGTAACACCAACTTGCCACTTGTTACATCAATCCAAATTTGTAAACTAACACCTCGATGGCTTGGATCTTTCTATATTTTTACAGTGATATCTGATGTTGCATACCGCCTTGAACTTCTACCACATATTTGGATCCATTCACTCTTCCATATTTTGTAAGTGAAGGAATTTCATACCAACCCAAAGCACTTTTCGGATAGATATCAACTACCACCACCACCAATTGTAATTGATGACCAACAAGAATATAAAATAGACTATGTTTTGGAGCATCATTACTTTTGTCGTGGCAGTGGACATTCACAACTTTAGTACAAAGTTCTTTGGAAAGGTTATCCCATTCACGATGCAACGTGGGAACCTGCACAAAACCTCATCCATTGCCAAGAAACAACTTAGAAATACCATCAGGAGCAAAACGAGGACGTTTCGTATTAGTGGAGGGGAATTAACTATAATATGGTATAGATAAGATAATTGTATAGATAATTAGAACCATAGAAGTTTCTAGAATTGGAGTTAGTTTAGTGAACCATATAGGATCCATTGTAGAACATTCTAGAAAGGATTTAGGGTGATTATTTAGGTGGGGTCTATCATAGAACCTTCTAGAAAATGAGTTTAAGGTGGTTATTTAGGTCGAGCCCACTACTTAGGAACATTTTAGAAAGTCTAAGGTAGTAGGATAAGATATAAATAGGATTGGCCAAGGCCTTTTCGAGCATCTGATCAAGTATGGCTTTGGATCTTTTCTCTTGATAAAGTTTGGTTTTCCATCTTTCTGTTCAGATCTGTTCAGTTTTGTTTCTGTTTGCTTGGTTTTGTCTTTCATGTCTTATTTTGTTGAGTTCCATTCAGTTTTTTTCTGGTCTATTTTCTTCTATTTTGTGAAGAAGCCTTGTGTTATTGTGGATTGGAAGGACCTTGGGCTTTTGAGAGTCTAGTCTTGTTTCAAATGTTATATTTTTAGTAATGTAATCTAATGTCATAAAAAAAGTTTATATTAAAGAAAAAAATTAAAAAAACATAAAAACGCTCATTTGGTTCTTTTAGAATTAAAGTAGCTATTTCAAATATCCTTGTTATTAATAATCCTTATGATAAATAATAATCTTAATATAGCATGCTTACAAGTTATATTGAGGGACCCATCTACAATAACTTTTGTATATGTCATAGCCAATTCTCCTTAACTCTTTTACTTTTGTACATTATATTCTTTTCTTGAGAAAAAAGTTGCATCTTCCAATTATTATCCACATGTCATTATTTTTATTCTAACCTTTTTGAAAATTGCTCTAAATTTTAGTTTCTTTTGTTGGCATATCCTAGTATGTTATAAATACTCATTTAAACTTTTAAAATAAGACAAATGTTAATATCCTAAAAAAAATAATTAAATTAATATATATATATATATATATATACTTATTTATTTATTCATTTATTCATGTACATCATTACATATTTAGAATGTCATTGATCTATAATTGTAATTGAATTAGTTAATTATTATCTTTAAGTAAAAAATAATAAACTTAAAGATAAATATATGATTGTGTGCTTAGAGTTTTAGATGTGCAATAAATACTAAAACATAACAATGCTACACAAAGAAACTTGAAAGTATTCAAAAATCACTATGTCAAATATGCAGAACATTCAAATAGAAATATTAAATATAAAGAATTGTTACTACATCCCCAATTGATATCACCACACCCCACATGTCTTCCTTTTAGTAAACTTGCTATTAATGTATCTCTTTCTTTTGTGTATTTTTTCCTTTTATTTTATTTTAAGAAAGGGTGGTAGTTGAGATAGAGGCAATGAATATATTATGAAAAAATTGATTACGAGTTTTTTTTTTTTTTTTTTTTTTTTTGTTTAAAAAACAATTGCTATAAAACTGTTTAATTCAAAATTCTATTCTATTTTGTTTTATTCTATTATCAAAAATTCACAATTTTTTATTTATTTATTCTATTTCTGGGTCAATATTGGAATTGAATATTAAATATAAAGAATTGTTAATGCTACATTCCTAACATAGTGCATCCTAAAACATAAAAACACACAAATGAGGATGTACCAAGGATGCAGCAATATGAACTGAGGTAGCATTAACAATTCTCTAAATACAATGAGATAATTTATATTTAAACTGATAAAAATTTCCTTATCCACAACCTGAATTTTGGCATTGCCAATGATACAAAAAATGAATTCTGTTTGATTACAATTCTTAACTTCCACCTGTAGACTCCATTCATAACAAACTATGTTCAGGGTTTCAATTTCCATGCTTCCAAGTGCAGTGACAATTTAAACCAACAGCCAGTCTGATATCGTGTTAAGAACTTCCAAGATTTGGGGACATATTTAGTGCCAATCCACACCTCAATATTCAGCTTGAACCAAATTGATTACGCATCTACTAATGACGCTTTCAAATCTATAAGCGTACTGAAAAGAGCAATTAGGCGTATTACTTTAGGTATCACCTCTAAAGCCATATCCTCCGGTTTGCTTCTATAAGCCAAACCATCCCAAAATCTGTACATTGCATTAGATATTACAAACGCCTTGAAATACCTACACACGTCTCCAGGCCCTTCTACAACTCAAAGCCAACTGACACACTTCAATTGTTCATTTCCTCTTCACTTTACTTCACAACAGTAAACTGATACAAAACAGGTACACACTGCCCATAAGCGACTGACAGTTCGTCGCTAATGAAATACACTGCAGGCACAAAAACTCCTCCAATACCAATTCCAAAATGTAAAATCCTCCTACGTAGCATGTTCAATGACTCGAGCAATCTTGAAAATTCTGAGAAATGGAGAGAGGATCCTAATCCCTACTCGAATGCCCACCTTCTGGAATAATACTTTTCGACCTTAGTTAAACACGCCATACCAGGGTATGAAGTATGTCACGGCAGAGATCCAGCTTACAACAACTTTATCAATCGTACTCAGGGACAAGCTGCGAGATTTTCCCCTCCTCAGCAGCAAGGCGCTGCTCTGTGACACGCAACCATATACACACAGCTGTGAAGCTCACGATCAAGCTGAGGAATCCACTACCCAGGCCTATCCCGACAATGGCGAGGATAGATAGATTATGGCCTTTTGCATAAGGAAGCGGGAAGCCATACAGCCCCGGATTTCCCTCGAAGGAGGAGGCATTGAACCTGGGTCGCCCGTCGGAGGTATTGGAAAGCCCTGTAGGGATAGGCCCTTCCAGATTGTTGTGGGAGACGTCAAAGGTCTGGAGCTTCTGGAGGGTCGCCAATGCAGCTGGAAGCTCCCCCGAAAATCGGTTCTGCTCCAGATCAAGCTCGTGAAGGTAGGAACAGTTGGCGATTTCCGCTGGAATGGGTCCCGAGATCTGGTTGTGGCTCACATTCAGGGTCATGAGATAGGATAGCATTCCTAGTGTAGAGGGTAATGTTCCTGTCAGAGAATTTTGGGACAAGTCAAGGATGCCCAGGTTCCTGCAGAGAGAGAGGTTGGGGGAAATCGTGCCTGTCAGTCCCTTGTTGCTGAGAACGAGGGATACCACCCTGCTGCTGCTACATGTGACCCCTACAAACGTCGGCCCCCGCCCATCTTGTGTCGTGTTGCACGGAAAAGCAGAGCTGGTCCAGTTAATGAACAGTGCAGGATCAGCACCTTTCACCATGGATTGGAAGCCTTGTAAACACGCAATGTCATCCTTGTTTGGCTGAGTAAGAGCTAGTTCAGGGAAGAGGACTAGAATTAAAAGTAGAGCCAGAGACGATAGAGGGGTTGGGAGTAGCCACCAGCCTGTGCTAGAGCCGTGAGTTAACTTCATGGCGAGCTGCAGATTCGCCAACCCTCACTTGAATCTGCGCTGGAATGAAGCGAGAATCATACCGAATACTACAGCATCTGCATCCTGTCAAGCCTAGGTTAGCGTGTATCCAACGTGCAACAAACTCCTCACTACTCCAACTAGAAAACGTTCCACCGAAAGACCCAATAATTATGAGTTCGTAAACCCTATTGCAACAAACTGGCATTGTGGTAAGATCGGAGCAGGACTATCGCTGGAATACAATGCATAATGTCAGGTGGACCAGTAATCGCAGTACAGGATAACGTCAGGGCTGAGACCAAATTAAGCATCAACTTCTTGAAATTCAACCATTTGGCTTCCATTAACTATTAAACCAATGTAACCATGTGTTACAGTCCTAAAATACTACTGGATTACTTAAACGCAGCTGACAAACCAGCATTTGCGAAAATTTTAAGTACCGTCAAGTCGACAACGGCGTAACAGCCTCGAGAAAAATAGACAAAGAATACAATCAACGTTAATAAAAAGGAAGAACAGAAACAAAAGTACACGAAACGAAAAATGGCAAAAACCCTCAACAGCGACAACAAAACCCACAAACCATGAATAGCGCTCTGGAGGAATAAAAACTACCTGTGGGGTGACCTCATACCCGAAAACCTAGCAACTCGTCGCCATGATTGGAGCAGTGTCTATACCGAGGAGAGACAAACCCATAATCGAAGCATAATCCTGACTCACAACCATGACCTGCAATCCCGCGCCAACCCACAAACCCGTTTCTCCTGTTCAGTCAAAGATACTAACACCCCTGACATCTCGACCCCTTCAAATCTGCCCCCCTCTGATATCGAACCCTCTCCACCACGCTACCCTGTTGCAAGCAATTTCACGGTTACTAAGCTAAAAACGTGTGCATACATCTGGGTTACTACTTACCCTAACTATATGGGGATTCATTCCCACGGCACCGAAACACCAATACGAAAAAACGCGCAGCGCGAAGCAGCTGTTGTTGTTATTGCGATGAGGGATAGAAATCGCTTCTTGGGGGGGGGGGGGTAGATCGATTGGGGACGCCCCCGCGTGAGCTGTGGAAACCAGCGCCAGAGCCTAGCAACGCTCATGCGGTGCTGGTGCTGATGGGGCCTCTTCCTTCTTCCTTCTTGCTCCTCCCCTCCCCCGGCCGGGCCGGGTAGGGTTTGGCCCTCACCCGACCCGACCCAGCCCGGCCCGGCCCAACCCGTGCCGGGTCCAAGCCGCGGTCTTACGCACTCGCTTATTACCGAAAACAGTGGTGGTCTCCGCGGGAGAGTGCAAATTTTGTACATTTGTATTCTTGTCATATAAATAACGCGAGATTTTTTTTATTTGTTATTATGTTTTACTTCATAATTTACTTCAAGTGTATGAAGGGTTTGAAATGTGGATTTGTGTCTTTTCAGATGTCAAATGTGGGTTGCTGGATGATCATTAACTGATGTTTGTTTGTTTGTTTGTTTTTTTTGTTTTTTCTGTATGGTTCAATTTGGTTGTGATTTTTTTATTTTTAATGCATTTGAGGATCAATTTTCTTTTGATATCTTTAGCTATTGATAATTAATATAACTGAAGGATGTTTGTGGAGAGCAGTTGAAGTATTGTTTTGATCATTTCTTTGTTTGTTTACAATAGCTTTTTATTCATAAAATCAAATAATGATGTTTTAGATGAGAACATGTTTTTCTCATTTTTTTATTTTATAATATTTAACAGATTAGAAGAAAAAAATGACTTGATGGAAAATGGAAGGAAAAATATAATATAATATAATGTAATGTTATTTAAACAAACTACCAATTTTCTTTACAAACATTGATTAAAGATAGAATTTATCTAATTAACACATTAAAAATTAAATAACATGATACAAATAATATCCTTTAACATGTATTGTAACATGGATCCATTGCTTTGCTGAAGAAAAATTATATTTAAGTAAATTATAGATGTAGAATACTAATTTTGTATATTAAAGATAAAAATCAAAGACATATAAAACTTAATTTTGAATCAATGTCTTTAGTTGAGGTTTTTTGTTTAAAAAATAATTAAAATATTTTAAATTTTAGATTTTAATAAGATAATCATATTTTTATTATTTTTTCAATGCTTTTGTTTTTTTTTAAAAAAATTATTTGCATGTGTATATATGTTTGAATCACTTTGATTAATTTTTTGTAATACAAATTAAGAATATTTTGTGTGGTTTCTAACTATATTAAGGAGATTCAAACTTAAGGTTTTTGAATAACCAAATATCATGGATCACTTGAAATATCACCTTCCAAAATATCACTGTTTAAGCTTTATTACCTCCCTCGAGTTTTTGAAGTATTACTTGATATTTTAGTGACATATCAAAAGATATCAAGTCAACCTAACATATTGACTTAATATTCTATGTCCATCCTTTTCACTCTTTTGTACTATTCATTATATCTTCAAAGAAAATCTCAAGCTTTGTAGAAAATGACAAAGAAGGTCATTTTAGTATATATGAGTATATTGAAATTGACAACTGGCTGGAAGATCTAATAAATTCCAAAAAACTACTCGATTTTAGAAAAATAGAGGTATGTAGAAAGAAAATGAGGAAGGCTAGAGCTTTGGTGCAGTTGACTATCCAAATGAATAAAGCATTAAAAAGTAAGTTTAATCTTTTTGCGATAAACTTGCTTGGTTGATTACATACTTTTAAAGCCAAATTTATGGCCATATATGATTAGTCAATGGATACTAGCACTAACATTAATGATAAGGATCAAAAATGGAGTATACATACAATAGCGACAAAGTTGGAGAATAATTGTTCACTCTTTGATAAGATGCATGCTTTGTACAATACAAGGCCAAACATACCCCTACTTTACAAGAAAGATTCTACCATGGTAACAAATACAATGACATCACGAGACTCCATGGGAATATTAGTTACCAATTTACTAAGTCTATTACTCAATTTAAATTTTTAGCATGAAGAATCACTATCCAAGGATACTTGGGAGGCTTTATTGTAAGACAAATTTGATGAACTAGAAGAAATATGTAAGAAGAAGCATAATTTCTTCTTCTCCTCTATTTCCCTCTTTTCCTTGTCCATTTTACTAGTATTGCCTTCTATATGATGTCTAATGCTTGACAATACCTCTACCTTCACTTCAAGAAAAAAGAATCATCGACCATAAGTTTCAAAATTTGAAGAAAAATCTCTGTAGGATTACCACACAGTAGCCAATGCATTTACAAACTCATCACAATAAAAAAACCATTACAATGACAAAGCGCTTAGCTCTACTAAAACAAAAAAAGTGAGAGTGCTAAAGCTTCTTTATAAAAAGAATTGAAAATGAATGAAAGGCTAAAGAAGGATAAGATGGCATTTGAATGAGAAAAATAGGCTCTAATGTAGGAAAAAAGAGAAGTGATTTGAAAATGCAATAGAAAAGATAATTTCTTTTATCTTATTTAGTCTAAGTTAATCCAAAAAAAAAATATGTAGGAAATTGAATAGATTACAACTTTCATAAAAAAACATATGAATAAAACATCAATTTGTAACTTGAATTATATTTATTATTTTATATTTGAAATTTTATGATTTGCATTGTGAGGTTGTACTATTGTCAACTCTAAAATTTGATGCATTAGCAAAAATTTCATTGTACAAGGATAGTATGGAAAGAAGTGAGGAAGCCTTAAATACAAGGTTCTAAAGGCTTTAGATTTTGGAGGCCTTGGATATAAGGTTATGAATGCCTGATGTATGAGGTTTAGGATTCCTTGAATATGAGATTTTAAGATGGCATCAAGTACAAGGATTAAAGGTGGCCTTGGACTCAAGATTTTGAGGTAACATCATATGCAAGCTTTTAGAATAGTCTTAGGTGCAAGGTTTTAAGGTGGCTTTATGTGCAATGTTTTAAGGTAGCATCATGTGCAAGATTTTAGGATCACCTCAAGTAATGTTTTGAGGTGGCCTTAGATACAAGATTTATGGTTCTTTGGATATAAAATTATAGAGGCCTTGTATTGTAGAAAATACATTTGTGTGAGTTGCTTCACAAGACAACAAAACTCAAAGAGCTTTATTATGTACCTTGGAATAATACATTACATTTTATTCTAAATTTTCTATTATATAAATTTATGTTTCTTTACTTAAATTACATTTCTTATAAAATAGCCAATCTTACAAAATTGTGGTATTTAGAGCCTTTTTTAAATACAATAAAAAATTCAATAAAAATAAAAATCCTATAGCAAGATTTGAGCTGACTTGATTGGCTTAAGAAATAACTTTGCCTTGGCTTGAGTCTTGAAAAATCAAAATTCTGCTCTAATGTAGTCAAAGGCTTAGAAAATGTAATCTTTTTAAATAAAATATATTTTAAAAATCAAGCTTTTCAAATTACATTAAAATTTATTGGTGCTCTATGAAATGAAGTTCTTGACTTAGAATTGATCCTACTCAAATTCTTGTGATGCAAAGACCTTAAGGTTATTTTATCTTAATTTGACAAATGATCTTGGTCACATAAATAAATTCACTCTGATAAAAGATAGAAGAATATAATATTATAAAGGAGCTACTTCAACCAAGGCTTTGCAATTATATTCATATTTTATTGCATTATCTTATATTTTACGATGTCACATAGAATCCACCAGATGAGAGATGTCTCTTAGTTTACTACACCATATAAAATCTACAAGATGAAAAAAAGAATTTAAGGACATAGTATTGCAAATCCAATGAAGAATGATGGATATGAGCCATAAAATGAGCAAAATCAGCTCCATGTATGTCAAAAGACATTCATCAATTTTCTAATTATTATTACAATTAAATTATTTAAATAAAATATAGAATAATTTCTCATTACTAACAACTCTTATACAATTCTTTTGAATCACTCTACAACCTCTACATTTGCTAATTAACACATCACTTAGTTGTAATAGAAAGCTCTTCCTAAAACAAGGAGATGTTAAATGGAAAAAAGAAGGAGGGGTGTTGATATAATCTTTCAAATATCTTAAGTATCTTAAATCCTACTATACTACATCCCATAATTTTGATTTATTTTGGACACTTCTCTCATATTAAAATTAATAGTCATTAATAAAATATTTTTTCAATTCATTTATCTTCTATCCTTTTATACATTAATTAATTATAATATAAAAAATAATTATAGATATATATGGTATACAAGGCATTGTGACTATATAAAAGGAGTTGAGCTTTGATTTTTCATTGTCTATTTTTTAATTTATTTATTTTATTTATTGTTTAAGAGGCCTTAAGGTTACACAATACATTGCACAACTATACAAAGATGAGAAAAATTATAATAAGAATTAAATTATATATATATATATATATATATATATATATATATATATATTTATTTATTTATTTATAAAATATATAAGAAATACAATGTTTTTACAACCCTAAATTACCTTACAATAAACTATTTTGAATCATGCATTGGTAAAATATTAAATGCATAATAGTATGCTACAATTTTATCTTGAATCTTTTTTCTAAAAAGAATCATTGCTTCCTATGTGGCAGCAAAATTCTCTAATAATTCTTAGTCAGTCTCCATAAATTTAGTTGTCCATATGTCATCCAAACCAACAAACATATTATGCAAAATAGAATATGCTAAAATCTAGTTCACAATAAATTTTATATTCGTTGTTAAAATAAATAAGATATAGATTTTTCTAAACAAATCCTATTTACTTTTTAAAAATCCAATGCAATATTTATTTGTAACTTGTACTATGGTGAAATAATAATTATATTCTATGTTTATTAAAATTTCAATAGTAAGAGACTTATAGTTAAGAATTATTATTTGGCTCATATCATATGTTGAGTCTACTAGCAAGTATTCTCCATCATCAAAGTATTTTTTAACGTTTTTTGATATTTCTATCTTCTTGAATATTAATGTACCTACACATAATGTAAATCAATTTATGATTAGTCCAATGATACAACAATTAAGATCACAAATAATCAAAACACTAATAAAATACTTCTTCTTCCTATCAAAGAAT